TAGGACTTTTTGGTGTGTTTGATTTCATGTGGGAAGAAAGTTGCATGAGATGATCTGAGGCAGTACTGTCTTGAAATAGGTCAATTTAGTATTCATGACCAGTTTCCACAATAAACAGGTGAAACTATATATAATTCTTAGGAGTAGTATTAACTAATTTTAAATGTACTTTGGAAAACTATATATTTTGATAATGTTTTAGTAATTGATATTATAAATATGTATATAGATACAAAATTTGTTCTGAACTACATTTATAAAACAAATTATTAAATAAATAAAGTTCAAAACAGAAAAAATGTCTATCTTATATATACAAGGGCTATTTCACTTTTCAATTTGAAAACCTCAGAAGCATCCAAGCACTATCTGTCTTAAATTTACTAAACTTGCAAAGCAGACAATTATTAAATATAATTCCATACTGTGAGAAACTTATGTCTTTGAAATATATTTATTGCTAGTAACTCTGGCCAATAAATCACCAAATTCTGTAGACTTCCCTTTTTTAAACAAACTCTCACCTTTGAGCTTCTTTTATGCCCATCTTACCTATCAAAGAGAGCTATAATCATTTAGCACCTGAATTATTTCAGTAGCCATTTAAATAATTATTCTTCATCATATACACTTCTTTCATTAACTTCACTGTTACCCATCAGCCAATGTGAACTTTAAACCAAAACACTAATATGAGTCCTCACAGTCAGAGCTCCCTGCTGTAAAGTTAAGATTCAACTTCTGACCATGAACTGTCAGATCCAAAACTTTCTGTTCCAGCCTAACTCCCCAATTCATCAATACCATTCTTCCTCTTACTCCCTCAGCTAGTAGCACTAGTCTACCTAAATGTTGATATACAGTCATCCTTTCATTTGTACACATTATGTCTACTTGAATGTTGATCTCCCATCATACTTTTATCTGTACACATTATGTCTACCCTGAAAGTTTACCATCTTCTCTCTACTTCATCTTGTTTCTGATTTTTATACTTTAAATACAAGTCGGAATTTCTCAATTCCCTCAAATTGAAAGATACCCTCTCTTATATACTCATATGTTCATTGAGATTTTCATTATTGTTTAAGAAAAATTTGTGATTATGTTTTAAATAATTTATTAAATATTTGAGTTTGTTATTAGACAATTAACTCCATGAGATAAAGGCTATGTGTGCATTTAAATAAATGCAAATAAATAATTTTGTGTGTATACAATTGACTTTCCAGGAACTGTATCTCCAGTGCTTAGTTCTTTGATTAACATTTGAAGATGAAGTTATATATTTTTGAAAAAATGCCTCTCAATATAACAATATATTCACCCTTTCTTGCACCTATGTTCAGGTTTATATTAAGCAACTGAATGCACACAAATGATATTTTATAGCTTTCAAATCCAGGTCTTCAGAAGATGGGAGTTTTAATTTCTGCTGTTTTGTAAACTGAAATTTCAAAACTGTGAAAAAATGCAGGTAGTCCTGCAGGGGACAGAGAAGGACAAGAAGACGCCCTCAGAATAAACCACCACAAAGAATAAGGTGGACATGCAGAGGACACTGGAATGTCAAACAGATGATTGAAGCCTGTTTGGACCTCACAGTGAATTTCCTAGCTGTTGCCACAGGAGTTGAAGCAACACATGAAGCTGATGCCAGTGGCATATGCCTGTCATTCCAAGCTACAGAGGAAGCTGAAATCTGGAGGATCAAGGTTTCTAGTTAGCCTTTGCAAAAAAGTTTCTGAGACCCATCTGAACAGAAAAAATAGCTAGATGTGATGCACACCTATAATCTCAGTGATAGCACGGAGTGTAAAACAGGAGAATCACGGTCCAGGCAGCATGAGCAATAAGCAAGACCTTATCTTCAAAATAACCAGAACAAAAATGGTGGGAGGCAAGGATCAAGCACTTGAGTACCTGCCTAGCAAGCACTCAAAGCTGAGTTCAAACTCCAGCACTTCAAAGATAAAAGCAACACATTTAAAGCCATATTCCAATTACTCATTCACACATAGTAATTTCCTGGCTTATAGCACTGAACTTTAGGGTAGTTTATTGCAAATCAACAGACTATAGAAAAAAATGAATCAATACTCACTACTAAAGTTACCAGAAAGGTAAAATGTATTTTAGAAAAGTAATACTTAAGTTCTATTCAATTCTGGAGTGAACATAACAGTAGAAAAATGTAACAGTTGAAATATAAAACTCCTTTAAAGTTAGCAGTGCATATGAAATAAATGTGTTTTAAGTGCATTAGTGATGTTATTTACTCTTCTTTAACATTAATCTGACTCCTTCAAGTAGATAAATTTGAGTATTTATTTACATATTGTTTTAGAAGATTGTGGAGGACTTGATAACATATACCCAAGACTAAGTAACAAAATGCAACATGTGGATGGAGACATAGGACAGAAAATTGAGATTAAGCAGTAGAAAAATAAGTTTACAAATTATTCATCCAGAGTTTTCAGATTTTGCTTTGAGATTTCTAATAGTGTCATGGTTTCTTTGGAGGATACCTTAATCTAGTTGTTAAAGTAATCCTTCTTAATTGACCCTTCCCTAGGAAACTAACATTTGGTTAGTACAAAACTCACCTTTTATTTGTTCAGTCTGCTTCTTCTCCTAAAAAGGTTATTATAATTTTTCCTTTCTCCTGGAATCCTTTTTTATAAATTACCTCAACTTTTATCTATGGAACAAATAATACACATGCTGCCACTCATAATCTGATCTCAGTTTCTGTGTCCTTTCCTAAATATTAAAGAGTAGTTGTTTAATTTATTTTCTTTTCATCAGGTCTATCTTCAGATGTGAAAGACTGCTTATTGAAATAGTTGAACAATCTTTATTTCAGACACTTGGAGTCTAATGTTTTTCAGAATTCAACTTTTTGAGATACTAGTGATGTTATTTGTCCTGTGTGTGTTGTATAAGTCACACAGAAACCTGAAGAGTACTCCATAATAAAGCATATTAGAATTTCTGCAGAAAATGTATGAATATCCACATAAACTGAAATTTATTAACACCAAAAATAACCTCAAGTCAACTTTTCTCACAGCATTATTCAGGTCAGGTCATGCTTTGCTTTTAGATAAAGTCATCAAAGATGATAATGTCTTTCAGGGTACTTCATATATCAGAACTATGGGGTTAGGACTGTGACACAATCTCCTAAATTCTGCCTGTTCCTGGGGTTTGTCATTGTACTCTTCTCCCTTTATTGATTTGTTACTTGTTTTTTTTTTTTAGTAGATGACTTTAATTCCCAGTCATGTCATTTTTCCACATAACCAGTCTACTCCCCACTTCCCTTTTGCACTCTTATCTTTATTTATTTATTTTTTGAATCATCCATTTTATTTGTCATGTGCTCACAGCATCTTTCTCTCCTCTCCCTGGCAGGTCACAAAGATAAATTAAAAATAAAATCTACAAGGAAAATAATTTATAAAAAGCACTCCCAGGCTCATGCCTTCCATCCCTACTGCTCAGTTTGGAGCCCCCTCCCTCCATAGGGAGGAGAATCAGTGCTTTCCCCCAACTTACTCCTGCTAGTCTGGAGCAGACAGTACTCCAGAGTTGGGCAGTAATGCGGTGGCAGTGGCAAAGTTACAAATAAAGACAATGTGGTCTTGGAACCATCTGGCCACCTTGGCGCTTCCCCTGGTTGCCTGCCCCAGGTTGAGCTGGGGCTGTGGAGATGCTGCCTGTGACTGAGAGCCTGGGGAGGGTGCTCTCAGGCCATCATGTGCACTTCTCATTCTAGAAAGAAACCCAAAAAAGAAAACAGACAAGACCTCGGGACAGAGGAGAAAAATCCCAAGTGTTCACACAGTTACACGGAGTCTTTCTGGCAGAGAACATTTAGCAGCTTTGAATATTGGGGCATCTGCTTTTTACTCAACACAAGCATTCTAGACCCGATAAGTGAAACAGGGCAAGCCCTATTTAAAAAAAAAATCAAAGTGCAAGAAATTCTAAGAGGACTAGTTTTTTGTTGGTGCTGGGTTTGGTAGGGTTTTCTTGTTTGTTTTCCCCAGTAACAAGCCCAGTTGGTAGGTAGAGTCTTGAGGGAAGGCTCCTCAGTATTGTGCTAAATACTGCCTGGAGGTGGCTGCACTGGATTCTCCCTCCATTATGTCTCTCTCCCTTTGTTTAGCCCCAGAAGAGGAAGCTCAAGCCCAGTCCTGAGCACTGCCAGCACAGCACACCACACTGAAAGCTACAGGCAGCTAGTGAAGGTGAGGACCACTAGCACAGGATAGGACTGAGAGGAGTACAGTATTTCCATGCAGGCTCTGATAGAGTGGGAATCTCAGGGGTGGCTGGAGCCCAGATGGAGGTGTCAGTGGCAGAGCAGTGAGTGACATGCTTGGTATTGGGGCTGCTGCAACATGGACTCATCACCCTTTTCTGCTCCTGTGCCCTTTGGCCCAAAACCAACAAGCTAGTGTTGGATGCCCACAACTCCCATCCAACTAAAACATTACAGATGACATCCAAGAGCTCCCCTTTAGGGATGCCAAAGTGCATGGAACAAAAAGAATCAATAAAGCCCCACCCCAGTCCCCAACCTACCTGTGTACCCCGCTGGAATATAATGGGGTTTAATCAATCACACCAGAAACCTAGGCCTACTTGAGTCACTCAGATCTGCTACCTGGAAACCTGGACAAAGCCCATCTTAACCTTCCCTTTGCTTTTCTCAGTACTTTGACTTTTTGTTTTGGGGGGGGGGGTTTCCTTCCTTTCAGAAATGAGACTTTCTACCACTTTCTCTCCCTTCCATACCTTTTGTTTGGCCTTCACTCCTGGCAGCTTTCACCTCCAGCAATGCCAGTACTACCCCTCCCCCTCACAACAAAGGGGTAGAGTGGGGACCCTGGCCACCCAAATGGTCTGGCCACTTCCACCCACGCCAGTGGGGGAAGCTGAGCCACACTTCACCTGCGCCTGCCTCTTCCCATTCACTGACCCGCAGTCATCCCATCTGAGACGATATATTGGATAAGAAGGCACTGAAGTCCCCACTGTAGGTCCAGGTCCAGGTCCAGGCCCAGCCCTTCTCCAGTTTCGGTCTTAGTGAGCGTCCACCCCCTGCCTCCCCAGGCTCACTTCCTCCGGTCCTTTGGCTTCCTCTCCTGCCGCCGGGCCTGCTGGTCAGCCGTGGTGCGAGGAATGAGGAGGACACTACCATCCCCAGCATACTGGAGTGCATACTGACTGGGCGAGTAGGGCCTCCCAGTCTCATCCCGTAGCCGCCCAAACACCTCTTGGTACAGGCTCTGGACCTTCTGTTTCATCTGCCTCAGTGACCGCAGGACCTTTTCTCGCAGCAGTCGGGACTTACTGCGTTGCAGATCCTCTACATCACGCTCCAGGTTCAGGATGGTGTCCAGCTTGTGCTTGTGGCAGTTCTGTGCTGCCATCTTGTTCTTGCCCCGGCACCGAATGTCACGGATAAGGCTCAGCTGGGCCTCACTCAGCTGGTATTTGGAAAGCAGCTCATTAAATTCCTCTACAGGCAGGTTGATGATTTTGTCATTGGTGAACGGAATCTTCATGGCATGGGCTCGATGCTCATCCCGACTCATCTGCTTGTCCAGGAAGTCAGCCTGCTTCTCCTTGCTACCTTTCTTGAGGGTTGTGGGTGGTGGCAGGTCAGCAGAGTCAAGGGCACTGGGTGCCATGTTGTATGTGTGGTTGTGGCCCACATGCTCCAAGTAGGGCAGGCAGGAGAGCTGAGACGGATCCTGGTAGCTCATGCGACAGAACTTGGAGTACTCAGGCTGGTAACCCACTGTACCTTCAGCCTCTTCCAAATCCAGGGTCTCGGAGTCAGAACTATAGCCAATAGCACCTTCCTCAGAAAAGGAGGAAGAGGAAGAGGCAGAGGAAGAAGTGGAAGAAGAGGAATAGGAGGAAGAGGAAGAAGAGCTGCCTTCAGAGCTGCTCAGGGAAGAAGGGCTATGGCTGGAGTCCAGGGAGAGGCCATAGTCAGAGTCAAACTCTTCCTCAAGCTGGGAGGCCTGCACAGGGTTGAAGCCCTCCACCATAGCCAGGTCCATCAGTCTGATCTCATCCAGCATGGCTTCATCTAATAGGCCCCCCAGAGGGTGAGGCAGCTCTGGGCCTGCTGTGTCATTGGCTGTGCCATTGATTTGGGGTGGAAAAAAAAGCCTTGCCAGGTTGGTGGAGCCAAAGGTGTAGTTGAAGCTGGTGGAATTGCTGGGGACCAGCGGAAGCAGCACGGAGCTGCCAGCCACAGGCAGGCTCTCTACCTCAGGGCTAAATAGTGAAAAGTCATGGCTGCAGTCCCCCAGGGATGCTTGATGCAGGCTGACATTTTGATTGATGGGAGTGTTGGGAGCAAGGATGTAGTTGGTGCTCAGAGGGTCTCCAGGAGGGGCATTGTACAGATCTTCACTTGTTGATGTGTTCACTTCCATGGCCTGCATTTCCATGATGGACATGAGATCTTGCCACCGCTGTTCCAAATCAAATGGCAACTCTGTCCCCGTCAAGAGAGGAGACCAGAGACTGTTTTGAAGAGCCGGAGATTCACTTTCACTAGGCACTGCCTCTGTGATGCTGGCAACTTCTGCTGGGAACTCAGGATTCTCTCCAAAGGGGCAGGTGGCTTCCTGCAGCCTAAGGCACTCTTCCAAGGACAGGGCTGTCTGGTCCTCCCCACCAGGGACCTGTGCAGGGAAGCTCTCCCCAGTCTCTCTGTCCACTAGTAGGTTTCAGGCCAGAGCTTCCGCACCCTCTCCTGCCCAGTGTCCTCCTGCTCTCCTCCATCTCGCAGATCCTTATCCACATCCTGCTCTTTCTGGCGATGACTATAGTCAAAAACCTCACGTCCAGCCCCCAGATCAATATCCTGCCACCAAAGGATGTCAATCAGATCTATGTCCTCTTTGGTTAAGTCTCCACTGACTGGAGGGGCTACAGCCCCCAAATCCTCCAAATCTTCTCCGAATCCCTGCTCCGTTTCGCTTTCTCGCACCCCTTTGTCTGGGCCTGTCATATCTTGGAGGCCACTGGAACTCTCAAGGGCGAGGCCTGAGTTGGGCTGGCTGCCAGAGACAGACCCCTTTGGGTACCGATGAACCAGCCAGGCATTTACCTCAGTGGTTGGCACCTGGAACCTGTCCAGAGCCCTCACCTGACTTAGGAGGCGACGGACAGTAAAGTAATTGTCCAGGTCTATGCTCTTGGGGTGGATACCATAGCCATCCAAGGTATTCCTCAGGTTGTGGAACTGTGTCTGAGTATAGGCAGATCTGGGCCCCAGGATGATCTCCTGGAGCAGGGGCGGGGAGCTGTGAGGTCAGGTAAGTATCCACGTCCACCCGCACCCCAATCAGACTCAGCAGAATGGTAAACTGGAGAAGTCCTTCCGTTAAGTATTTCTTCAGAGAAAGCATTACTGAAGGACCAGAATGTTTATGCTTTTTGGTTTTTAAATCTTCCAAAAGACAAATCATGGCCACTGCACTGACGCTCCAGGTAGCAGGTTACCCTCCTCGGTGCCAGACCCTTTACCAACCCTGGCAGAACACAGGGTTTGACCTCCCTGATGGCCCCAGAGGAAAGACCGCCCCGTGGAGCCAAGGCCACACTCCAGATCACATTCACTTTTCCCTTCGTGACACCTCACCTCTGAAAGTACAACTGTTCCTAACCCAGTCCAGGCACTCAGGGCCCACGTGACTTATTGTCTCCACGGTCCACATATGGTCACTTCCTCACTCACATTAGTTGTCCTCTCTGTAGATTCCACTGCAGGCTGTTCTCAGGAACAGCTTGACAGATTTTTTTTTCCTTCTTTCTCCTAAGGTTTATTTTCTTTGGCTGAAGCTCCAGGCCTTTCATCTTGGGTCAGGGTGTCCCATCTCCTCCACACTTACCAGGGGGGTTTCCAGAGAAACCCCAAATACCCGAGTCCAGCTGGGTCCAAGTCTCCACGCCCACTTCATGCCTAGGTGTCCAGCCTTCTGGGGCTGCCAGAATCTTATCTTTAAAAACAGATTAGACATAGAGTTGTGATAAATACATCCTTTGAGTTCTAACTTATTTTACATTATAATCTAATTTATATCTTAAAGTTTCCATTTCATTTAAAGTGTATTTCTTTTTTACTTTCATTTCTCCATTTTTTTTCTGGTTGAACCCTCTACTACTGAAGCTATACCCTGTGACCGTGTGTTCTATTTATTTCAAGTATACTCTAATTTCTCTCTCTTTTGTTCTGTTTTCTTGTACTATGCCTAATTGCCAAGTCATTTCAGATGTACTCTGTAAAGATGTCTTGTTCCATCTCCAACATGGTAGGATTGCCTTTTATTTTTAAATAGTGTTTTTCTGACAGTAAAGCCAGAATCTTGTATCAGATATTCACAAGGATAATTAGTACATAGTGTGTGAGCAATCAGTTCATTTAGTGTAAGATAGATTTTCCTAGACAATCTAAGTAGTTCTGATTACATTGTTTCAGAGACTTCAAAAACAGACCCAAAGTTTCTCAGAGGACAATGAAATGTCCCTAAGCTTTACTGTTGTAGCTCATGTTCAAAGATTTACCCTGCTCTTCCTAATTCCTTATCTTATATGTGGGTTTCAGGTTTGCTATCTTACTTATAGTCTTTAATCTGATTGCTTGTAATAAGTCAATACACACAAATACAGAGAGATGGATACATATATAGAGGGATATATAGATATAGATGGGTACAAATATATATATATGTATCCATATATATAAATATATCTATACAGATACATAGAGAGGGAGAGCTTACATTTTGTTTCTCTGATTAAATTCTTACTCATATAGTAGTACATAACATTTTTATGCACTTTACTTAATTACAGTAGCATATATTTTATAATTTATCTCAATATAGATACAACAGATAATATCACAGAAAAAAAATTTGAATCAATATTTTTCAGACAGCTTCAAATTGAATTGCATGGAGAGAATGAGAACCCTGTATTGTATACTGTCGTATTAGAAAAGGACACGGCTTTCTGACAGAAGAAACAATCTAAGGGATTCAGTACATCAGTCCCTGAATAGCTCAAGGGATGACACTTCAATATTTCAGTACAACTATGACCTAGTTAATCATGGCAGTCCTGTCTTAATCAAAATAGGATGATCTAAGCCTTCTAACCTTGTGTATTTACTTAATCCAGAAGTACACTTTCAAGTAAAATGTGTATATTACATAACCTTCAAAAATTATTGGTAAGCATTTTTTCTCAATAGAAGATATTTTCATTTTTAAAGTTGTTTCACTTTTCATGATATTTATTTTAACCAATACATGAATAGAGAAAAATTACATATATATAAAATTTATATCTATAATTTATATTTATATTTATAATTTATATTTATAATCTCTCTATGTATTTATATCTATATCTATTGAGCTATAGTAATTATTACATAGTATGTGTATATTTGATTTCATGAATGAATAAAATATATATTGTTTAAATCAGGGAAACCATATATATCACCTCAAATACTTAAAATTTCTTAATGGAAAAATCTTTCAAAATCTTTGATCAAGCTTTGTTAAATATATAGAGTACACTGTGATTATCTGTACCTATTTTACTGAACACTATCATAACTGAACTTCTTGCTACTCTCAAACTATAAAATAATACCCATTGATGAACTTCTCCCCACCTTTTCCCCCTTTGCTCTCCCTGGCCTCTAGTAACTACCCATCATGCTACTCTAAACGTCTATGAGATCCTGATTGTAGATTCTAAATATAAATGAAATTAGGCAGTACTTGTCTTTCTGTATCTGGTCTATTTCAGCTAAGCAATGATTTTTAGTTTTACTCATGTTAATTCAAATGAGAATTAATTGTCCATATTAAAAAATTAAATTTCCATACATGAATGGAGTGCGCACTAATGAAAGCTAACCCTGTTCCACCCTCCACACTGCAATTTCTGGTTAACATTTTTAGATTTCTCATATAAGAAAGAACATGTGCTACATTCTATGTCTAGCTTATTTCATCTAACATGATGTCCTTCAGTTCCATGTATTTTTCTATAAATAACAGGGTCTCATTATTCTTTCCATGCAAATAATACTCCCTTTTGTCTGTGCCATGTTTTCTTTATCCATTCATCTGTTGATCAGCACCTAGACTGAATCCCTATCTTAGCTATTGTGATTACTGCTGTAATAAACACAGATACACAGGTAAACCTTTGGTTTCCTAACTTCATTTTTTGGGATATATACCTGGAAATGGCTGAGTCATTTGGAGATTTTAGTTTTGATAGAGTTCCACACTATATTAATAATATCAATATGAACTTACGTTTCAACCAACAGTTTTTGAGACTTTCTTTTTGTCCATATCCTCTGCAGATATTTAAAAATTAATAATCATAACAGCAGTGATCTAGATGCTTTTTTATAATGTATAATAATTTTACAAGGGAATTTCATTTGATATTATTATGGATACATGCAATGAAATTTTAACAAGTTCGCCCCCTCCAATATACTCCCTTAACCTCTTTCTCCTCAGTGTTTAGTGGATTTCATTATGCCATCCTCCTATGTTTACATAAGGTATACTATAAATATATACATATATATAATATATTTTGATCCTTCCCACACCTCCCAAGAGTTCCCTTTCCCCATTCCACACCCTCCATTGAAATCCCCCCACAGATAGTGCTTTCTTTTCACTCATGTCCCATAGTAATAATAATAATAATAATTATTATTATCATTATTATCATTTTAAGTGATTTCACATAATAGCAAAAACTTGTGATATTTGGCCTTTTGAGATTTGCTTATCTCACTCAACATGATGATCTTCAGTTCCATCCATTTACCTTCAAATGGCATAATTTAATTATTCTTTATTGAAATAAACATTTTCTTTATACATCCATCAGTTTTTGGACAATTAGGCTACCTCCAAAACTTGTCTATTGTGAACAGTGCTGTGATAAATAAGGGTGTTGCAATCTCATTGCTATGTTGATGTATACTCCTTCAAATATATGCCCAAGAGTGGTAAAACAGGATCATAAAATAGACTTATTTTTAGTTTTTTTTTTATGAACTTCAATTATTTCCATAGTGATTGCACTAGATTGCATTCACACCAACAGTGTGTAAGGGTTTCTTTTCCCCTCATGGTCTCATTTGTAGTTGATTATTTTCTTGAAAACTTGCATTTCCTTTATGGCTAAAGATAATGATTTCTTCATGCATTTATTTAGCCATTTTCATTCCTTTTTCTGAGAACTGTCTGTTCAATTTATTTGTTCTTTTTCTGTTCAAGTTTTTGACTTTTATGTTTATTCCAGATATTAATCCTTTATCCAATAAATAGATGCCAAAACTTTTCTCTTGTTCGTGAATTGCCTTGTAACACTGAAATTTGTTTCACTTGATGTATGGAAGATTTTGATTTGATGAAATTCTACTTGCCAATTCCTGCTCTTATTTCCTGGGACATTAGAGTCCCATTAAAAAATAGCTGCCTGTGCATTTATCTTTAAAGTTTTCATTGGTTTTCCCTATGGTAGTTTCAAAGTTTCAGGTCTCACGTTAAGTTCTTTGTAAATTTAGAGTTGATTTTTGTACTGGGTATGAAATAGGGGTCTAGTTTCAGTCATTTATGTGTGGTTATCCAGTTCTAACAACATTATTTGTTGAAGAGGTTGTCTTGCCTCCAGTGTAGGTTTTTGGTTATTTTGTCAAAAAACAAATAGTTTTATCTTCATGGGTTTATTTCTGGATCTTATATGTGTTCTGCTTGTCTTCATGTCTTCTTTTGTGACAGAACCATGCTGTTTTTGTTATAATAGTTCTGTAGTATAATTTGATGTCATGTATTGTGAAAACTCCAGCATTGTTATTTCTGCTAAAGATTGCCTTGGCTCTTTGGTGTGCTTTATGTTTCCATATGAATTTTAGTATTGATTTATTTATATCTAGGAAGACTAACATTTGTGATTCTAATGGGAACTACATTGAGTCCATAGATTACTTTCAGTAGTTTATTCATTTTTACAATATTAATTTGCTTAACCACAAACAGAGGAAATCTTCCCTCTTCTAGTTTCTTCTTCAATAACTTTCTTCAAGGTTTTATAGCATTTGTTGTAGAAGTCTTTCACCTCCTTGGTTAACTTTATTCCTGGGTATTAATTTTTCTTACAGGCTATTGTGAATGGAATTGTTACCTTGATTTATTTCTCAACCTGTTCATTGTTGGTATGTATAAAACTGTTGATTTTGCATCCTGTCACATTGCTGAAAGTGTTTATCAGGCCCAAGAGTTTCCTGGTGGCATCTTTTGGGTCTTCTAAGTGTAGGCTCATATCATCTGCAAATAAGGATAACTTGATTTCCTAC